GCCTTGAGCCGTCTCAAAGGGCGCTTATGAGGCAAGCATGTACTAGTCCGCATGGACAACACGGCGACCGTTGCGTACATCAACCGACAAGGTAGTCTGTGCTCCCGTCGCATGTCGCAACTCGCAACTCGCAAATCTGGTTCCCAGAACTAATGCTCCTCGCGACAGCCCCTCCTTGGCCGATTCCTCTGAGGAAGGATCTACTGACTCAGAGACGGGGCACCCTTGGGCACCCGCGTCCAGACCTCTGGAAACTTTATGTCTGGTCCCTGGACGGGAAGCATATGCAAAAAAATAAATAAAAAAAAACAGCAACATGAAGGGGTTTGCATTAATGTTGTCTTATTTACAATATGATGTGTGTAGACAGCGTGCTGGACTAAGCAGTGGCAGAAATGTGTGTGCAGCTTTATTCTGTGCTGTGGCCTCTCAGTTTCAAAACACTCAAAAACACAGCCTCATTTCTGCAGAAAATTTCAGCATGTTTCCTGATGTTTACATTTTATGTGCTGTGATAAAGTTAGATAAACCATGCCAAATCAGATATGAGCGGTGAGACTGAAACGGATTTCCAGAAATGCTATGTAAATAGGATTTTAAACTATATGAATGTAGCTTGAAACAATTTGTAAAAATTGAATTTCATGAGGTTTTGTTTTTTGCCTTTCACATCTGCTAAATCTGATCAGATTTCAGATATGCAAAAAATCTGATTTAGACTGACAGTCTGAACGTAGCCAATGTCGAGATATTTGAGAAATTATCAAATGTATTATTTATTTATTTTTTTACAAAATGACATTATTTCAAATGAATTTTTCATATAAACATTACTTGACACCATCTAAACGGTCTTTTTTTTTTTCTCATCTAAATGCACCTGTCTCACATTTGAGTCCTTACTGAAAAGAAAATTTAATATGCAAATGAATTTTTCATATAAACATTACTTGACACCATCTAAACGGTCTTTTTTTTTTTCTCATCTAAATGCACCTGTCTCACATTTGAGTCCTTACTGAAAAGAAAAAAAATTTAATATGACATTTGCTCAAAGACAAATCTAGTTTGGAGAGAAATTAAAATTAGGGGTATCCCAAGTTCGGATCCCGGCTCATGGACTTTTCCCGATCCCATTCTCTAATTAAAAATTTTGTAAATATCAGTATTTACAGAAATGGCCAAATCTTGAAATTACTATGTTAAATGTCTTTCAATTTTATACACTTCTCTTTTTTTTTATTTCCATAAATAAATATTGTAATGTTGCGGGAAGCTCTTTTTGTAAGAAGATATGAAAACCATAAAAATGTAACGTTTCAGATTGAAATCTTCACGACTACATGCAAATTTGTGTACAGTTTTATATGTATTACAGACTGTGATAGTTAAACTAGTGTTTTATTTTTTTTGTTTTGTTTTACATTTAGGAGGGTCCAAAGTGGCCATACTTATTTTAAGCATTTGACCAAAAAAAACAAAAAAACTTGTAATGTAAAATGTATACTGGGGTTCGGGTGTGTGATTTCTGAATTTCCGATTGTGAATGATTAAAATGTCTGATCTGTCTTTGAAGAGAGATGCACTGTTCAGAGCAGTATCATGCTACAGTGCACATGCTGTTAGTTGCAGTTCTGGTGGTCACAACATTCACATGCTGTGTCTCATGATCGTGTTTAACAATGCAGTGGTAGAGTTTTGCTCGGGGGGTTTGCCGTTCTTCTCCATCATGAAAGGTTATCATCTGTGTCACTAATGTTAATCCAGCAACACAAGACAGAAAATCACTCATTGCGTTTGAATTTTTAGTAGTTTTATTAACAATCACTGTTTAGTTTTAATAACAATCGCTGTTTAATTTGTACATTGAATTCTATGTATGTTTTATTTTTAAAACACTGACAATACTCACACAATGACAATAATTTTATAAGGTGAAAAAAGGCACACAAAAAAATGATACAGTTATTGTAAAAATATTAAACTATTTATAACACAATGTTTTATAATGTAAATCGGTGTCACTGATTAAAGTGTTAGTCATTTACTCACCCTCATGTTGTTCCAAACCTGTATGAATTTCTTTGTTCTGGTGAACACAGAGGAAGATATTTTAAAGAGTGTTTGTAACCAAGCAGTTACATAGTATTTTTCTCGCTATAGTATTTATTCCCTACTATGGAAATCAGTGGTGCCCAAAACTGCACCATTTTTGGGGAACTATCAAATCAGTTATTTCATATATTTATATTTATATGATGTGATGCTCTTTTTGTGTACATTGTTACATAAAACACTCTTACTCTTTCTTCGCCCAATACCTGAGGACATACCAGCCTGTGATGTCCTAAGACACCCAAATCCCCCCCTGGTCCACGATCATCCCCACACCTGTGTCTCATCACAGTCCATCAGCAGTGTCTGCAGCCTGCCTACTGCCAATATCATGGATTTCTGTTCTGTTAGAGATATGCCATTCACAACAATATCAAGCTCAAATAATTTAGTCTTGCCTAACAGTTTCCTTGATTTGTTTCTGTTCACAATGTAGCATGGTCTCTCCTACCTTTGTGCATTCAGTTGTTAAAGTATGTCCTTAATATTTGTATTATTTGATTATATCTTAAGTTTATTATTTAAAAGCAAATTCACTTAATCTTTCCCTAGAAGAGATAATAGGTGTGTTTGACTTTAAGCTGCGCTGCGCAGACCGATCGAAGTATGACATCAAAGTACGCTGTGCTGCACAGACCGATCGAAGTATGACGTCACAGTACCGCGAGAGCAATAAGAGAGCAAGACAGCTTCTTATGCTTTTGAATCACTCTCACGATACTTTGACGTCATACTTCAGTCGGTCTGCGCAGTGCCGCTTCAAGTCGAACACGTCTAAAGTGTAAAGTGTAAGCTCTCACAGTCAGCTCTGGGTCTTGTGCAGTAATATGATGAGCAGGTGTTCAGTGTCATCACCTCACTTTATTGAAATGCTATATTGACCTGGATTCACCTCGGTTTAAAACTGTTTAATAAATTTAATTGGGAAAGAACAAATTATTCAGTGTCGTTAATGTTGTGAGGCTGCATAACATCTGGTCAGATGAACATTTGTGTAGTCTGTTTCCTCCTGAGGTTTCTACCTTATTGTTAAATATCTAAAAAGGATTGTCTTTGTAACCTTTCTCAATAGATATTGAAAGCATGTTTTTATGGTGCTTTTAAACAAAATATGAAATGTAATATGTGAGGTAAGCCATGGCTGGGTGTATATTACACAATTTTAATGTATGCCGTGGAGGTAAAGAACTACATGAACTGAAGCCATAAATCACCCCTTAATTCTAATGATCAGGTGTGATCAATTCTGTTCAGATTCAACACTGATCCAACAGCCCTGTCTGTAATTAACCAGTGCTCCTGAAGATCATAAATAGCTGCTTCAGTAGTGTTTGAGAAGAGTTGGAGCTGAACTTCGCAGGAAGTTGTATAGTTATATAGACAGGTAAGTGTTGGGTGTAATTAATTATTGAGTAGTCTGTTTCATTTTACCTTAAAAAGGTAATGATTGCTCTTAATTATTCTGTAATTTAATTACAGGAAGGATGTACAGTAATTGCATTAAATCCTGTATAGTCTATAGAACATTTCTGTGTAAAACAATAGTCAATTTAACAAACACGTCTCAAGTTTGACATTAAGTCAAGTCACCTTTATTTATATAGCACTTTTAACGATACAGATTGTGTCAAAGGAAACTGTACAGCATTAAAATGTGTTCAAGAATAATTTACGCATTATGATTTGTAATGCAATATTTTTAGATTAATTAGTACAGTAATGTCATTACACTGTTGAAGTACAAAATAACTTGTAATCATAATTACTTTCTTTGGAGTAACTTGCTCAACATCAAATATATAGTTATATATGTGTACATTTAATCGTTAATCCAATCAGCAAGCTTGTAATGTTGAACACTTAAAACTTTTAAGTAGTCAAGGGTCTAATATGCTCTCTAACTTGTAAGATCGAATTTATTAAGACATAATCAGCTGTGTTTACATGAATGAATACTGGCCAAAACAGACATTTTAACATCATTTTGTGTGTATTTGTCCGTTCAAGCATGATAAGACAAACTCATTTCAAAATTATCCATCAATGAAATTAACACTGTAAACATGACTTTAAACTATTGTGGCAGATGTGAAGAGTGAGGAGTTTCACTCAGACTGCCTCATCATGCCTGACATATAATACCAATCAGGTGATAAAGTCACAATGTTATGCAGCCATATGAACAGGCTTCAAACACAAATGCAGTTCTATTTCTGTTTTATGATTCTACATTGTAATCTAGGCTGTTGTGTTTTTGTGCAGAGAGACAGCAATGGACCGAGTCAAACTGAAGGAGATGGGTATCACACACAACCTGCGGCGAACAAGATCTACGAGAAAAGATCAATCCAAGGGCAGAATATTACCAAGACATGAACATCAGCTACTACTCTGTGTTGGACACAGGTGAACACAGATTTAAAATCAGCAAGGACTTCTTTCCACAAGACCCTGAAAATAAGAGCTGAGACAGACACAGTGCTTGAGTACAATTATTTTGGTCTACTTTTTATTTTTTATTTTACATAATTAAATTGTGGTACTTTTGTTTGAGTTGAATAAAAACAAAGTATTCAACTTTCCTATACTGGTTTTTCACCAAATGCAATGGGGTGAGCTTGCATTTGACAGGCACTTTTCAAACTGCACTTCAGGCAATAAAATAAAATAAAATGAAATGGTCAAACTGCGCTTTGACATTCACTCACTGGTGTGTTGAATTGTTAACGTTTCACTATGTGAGCTCTGCTCATATTCTGGTTTTAAATAGTAATTTTGCAGCTCCTGAAATGTATCATAGCATTGATATTAGCAGAGCACTGAAGAGTTGAAGTAAATAGAAATCACGGCTCATTCAGTGTCTGTAATGTATGTATTATAACAGTGCTATAAGACAAAAAATACTGAAAGATTTTAGTAACTTAAAGTGCTCCGGGGGATTCATTGTATAACCATAAATCACTCATTTTAGGTCAATTAAAGTATATATTTATAGCTAACTAAATGTTTTTTTGTTTGTTTTCTTTTTGTTGGAGAAATGTAAATCCCCCTGGTTATATGTGTAATGAGAGTGTTAAGTTACTTGGATTAATGATTGAAATTTGATTTGTGTGCTGACTGTGTGTCAGTGAGAGGGAAACGCCACATGAAAATTTCGGTAACACTTTAGAATAGGGAACACTTATTCACTATTAACTACAACTTTTCCCTCAATAAATTCCTAATTTGCTGCTTATTAATAGTTAGTAAGGTAGTTGTTAAATTTAGGTGTTGGGTAGGATTAGCGATGCAGATGTAGGCATTAATATGTGCTTAATTAGTACTAATAAATGGCTAATATTCTAGTAATATGCATGCTAATAAGCAACTAGTTAAGAGACCTTAAAATAAAGTGTTACCGAAATTTCTAATATTGTGAGTATTTAAGATGTGTCTAACATTAACAGTGACATTTCTTACTCTGTCAGTTAAAATAAGTATTTCTTTTGGTAACGTTTTAGATTACAACCCACTATATACTGCGTAAAACAGTAAACAGAATTTACAGCGTAACTTTTTTGTAATTATAGTGTACCTATTCAGTACCTCCGTGTAGGTATAAGGGAACAATATGCGAAGTTTGGGGAATAAAGGAGTAATAATCTGTAAAATTGCAAATTATTTCTACTGTAAGTATTTTGAAACTAAGGGGTACCTATTCTAATATTACGTGGTATGACCTAACAACAATCTTATATTTGCAAGCGATTTAGCAAAAACATACACTGTGTACTTTTTATAGCCTACACCAGGGGTTTTCAACATTCAACGTTTGTCTAATTTCACTCGCGCCCCCCCAACATCCAACAACCCCAAAACAACGGACTGTGCTTACAAGAATACTTGTCAAGACAGCCATTGGTATTCACCTGCTGTCTGAGAAGGCTATCTGTTTGTGCACTTCAGGTGTGTGAGCGGTACGCATAGAAACGCTCTATCACAGTGCGTGAGTACCGCATTGAGATGTCTTGGGCTTAAATGGCTTAAAATTACTTTAATGTTTAAACTGACAAGACTTAAAACACGTGAGAATGAAAAACTTTCTCGAGGAAGCAGTACTGGCCTGATCGTTAAGATAGTTTTGGGGGGCTAAGGTGACAGATGGGGGGCTGAAACCCACCTAAAAAGGGTTCAGAACCGCCCCTGGTATAGCGTGCGTAATTATACTGAAACTGAAACATAAATATATAACCTGTTTACCTGATTCAATGTGATGGCTGAGCCTGTTTCTGAGATAACAACATGCCAA